GAGGAGGAGGAGGAGGAGGAGGAGGAGGAGGAGGAGGAGAGCTTGCAAATAAAAAGACCAGCCTTTTTTACTCCACAATTTTGTCTCTGGAAGCTTTTCAAGGCACCGTCCGCTCATCATTCTGTCATCCGTAACATTGCCTTCAAAGTTATCTATCTATCATCACAAGGCATCTGTGTGACGCTGGAACAAACAGGCTTCAGATTCTAACCAGAGTCCTTTTTCTCATTGTATCTGGCAAACAAAAGCCTTCACATCACGTTTGCAGGCGAACAAGCTTCCTTTTGCCTTCCCCGTTAATAATGGTAGGGAAGACAACTTTCTTTTCATCCGCCAACCGCTAACGGTTGGCATAGCCTAAGAGGGGGGTTGTTGTTTCTTCCCCCCCCCACTCCCCGCTCTCTATTTTCAAACAGTGGCTTTGAAAGCAAATGGGTACCCGGGTGTTTAACTGGGAAGAAGATTGACATAACTTAGGATTGTCCCTTCCAGGTTTATTTTGAGGATAAGACTCTGGAAGAATCAGCCCTTGGAGGGATCCAACCTCAATGAGCTCCTGGATTGAAAATGAGTGTGAGACTTCCTGATCATAAGCTTCCCTTCCCCCTTTGGCTCTTTCTAAATAGCGTTTCATGATGATACCTGGAGATTCAGCATATGCTCCCAATGACGCAAGTGTATATTTCTTCTCTAGCGATGCACCACTATAACTCCAGCCCATTTCCTTCCCTTTAGTCCACTTGGGGTTCCAACGGGGGTAGAAAGCCAAGGAGATTTACTTACCCCTCTTGTAAATGGCTGGGGCTGCCTGGGATCCCATGGTGGTGTCTTTAGAGTTTGAAAATAAAGGACCCAGATTGAAACTTTTAAGACCAATTTTCCTCCCAGAGCACAGGAAAAAGGCCAGCCAGAAGACGGCTGGTCAGAAATAAGCGATCCAGAGGGAGAGGGAGGCAGAAAAGTTCAAGGGGTGAAATAGATGCCTGGTTCTATATCAGCACAGTTCATGGTAATATTTAAATGAGGAGAGGTGGGCCATCCGTTTGTGCCTATGCCTGCCTCCCCTAGAAACCGCCCACTTATTTAGCCTGAGATGATCCAATCCTGAAAGGCAGGAGAAATGGAGGTGGAGGAATCACAGCTTTTAAAAGAGTCCCCAGCTTCTGATGTCATTAGCAATGAATAAGAGGGCACCCACAGTGGGTGGGAAAGAAGGAAGGAAGGAAAGAAGGGAGGGAGGGAGGAAAGAGAAATAGGAAAGGAGGGAGAAGAAAGAGGGAAGGGAAGAAGGAGAAATAGGGAGGGAGTAGAAATAAAGAAGGAAGAAAGGAAGGAGAAATGGGGAGGGAGAAGAAATAGGGAAGGAAAGAGAGAAGGGAGGAAGGAGAAACAGAGAGGGGGGAATAAATAGGGAAGGAAAGAAGGAGGGGAGGAAGGAGAAATGAAGGAGAAGAAATAGGGAGGGAAGGGAGAAGAGAGGAAAGAGAAATAGGGAGGGAGAAGAAATAGAGGGAGGGAGGGAGGGAGGGAGGGAGGAGGAAGGGAAGGAGAAAAACTAGGGAAGGGAGAGAGGAGAAATAGAGAGGGAGAAGAAATAGAGAAGGAAAGGAGGAAGGAGAAATGAGGGAGAAGAAATAGGGAAGGAAGGAAGGGAAAAAGGAGAAAAGGGGAGGGAGAAGAAATAGGGAAGGGAGGAAGGAGAAATAGGGAGGTAGAAGAAATAGGCAATGAAGGAGAAATAGGGAGAGGAAATAGGGAAGGAAGGGGGAAGAGAGGAAGGAGAAATAGGAAGGGAGAAGAAATAGGGAAGGGAGGAAGGAGAAATAGGGAGGGAGAAGAAATAGGGAGTGGAGAAATAGAGAGGGAAGGAGAAAAAATAGGGAAGGGAGAGAGGAGAAATAGGGAGGGAGAAGAAATGGGGAAGGCACGCAGGTAGGTTGACCGTCTCAGGGCTGTATGTAATAAAATGAAAAGGAAAAAAAATCCAGAAAGAAACAGCAACTGGAGTGAAGCTTCTATGCTGAGCAGACCAGATCAACAGTCAGCAACAATTTATTGCACACTGAAGTTTGCCCGGGTCACTTAAAAAAAACAACCACCCAGTTCAATTAGGTGATAAAATAAGAGCAGGCCCTTCCTTGTCTCTCTGTGCAGTTGGTTTTACATTGTAGGGGCGGGGTCTCAATCTTGGCAACTTAAAGATGCGTGAACTCTCACTCCAAGAATTGTGGAAACTGAAGTCCACACATCTTCACGTTGCCAAGATTGAGAAAACCGCGGTGTAAGAGGTTAGTCCAAAGTTCCCTGGGGGCAGTGGTGGGTTTCAAAAATTTTTCGAACCTACTCTGTGGGTGTGGCCTCCTTTGTGGGAGTGGCTTGC